AGTGTTTCAGCGGGATGATCAACAAGCAGGGCCCGGGCCCCCAGGCCTGTGTTCCCCCGCCTCTGTGGCAACCCCTACCCCAACCCACACCCTGCAGCCCTCACCTCTCCTCCCTGCTGATGTCCACGCCCACAGAGGGCGGAGCAGCCAGGATGTCAGTGATCAGGGGTAGAAACCGCTGCAGGATCAGCTTCAGGGAGGTGCAGCCCGTCTGGACATAGCTTCAGGGGCACACGGACCCAGGGCCACAGACAGAACGAGAAACAGGGAGAGAGACAGAGGTGAGGTGCAGGAAGACACGCACACCTTCGCGCCTTTTCCTGGGAACATGGAGGGGCGGCAAAGCTTCACAGCAACCTCCGGGGTCTTTCCTGTGGCCCATAGAGGAGCCCTCCTGCCTCTCCTCCCCCGGCTGCCAGCCAGGCATGGCTTCCTCCCTCGTACCTCTCATACTTGCTCTGCAGCAGCTTCTCGATCTGCGGCAGGACCGTGGTGCACAGGTCCAGCTTCCACAGAGAGCTGAGGAGAGGCCGGGGCATGACGGCATCAGCCCAGCCCTGCCCACTCCGCCCACATCCTCCCCCGCCGCTCCTCTTACGCTTTCTGGTTGACGATGTTCAGGAGGTCCACCACCACTGACAGGTCGTTGATGGCCACGGCTGAGTCCACCGATGTCTGCAAAGAGAGCACCGTCGGGGTGGGGCCAGTGTGGCCCCTGTTGGGTGTGTTGGTGGGGTTCACTGCAGGGGGTTAGCAAGACCACGCTGAAAATGACCAGTGCCAAGTCTGGCCACAAATAGGTACATGGCCACGTGTGACAATGGAGGCAGAAATAACGGTAGTCAGGCACGGTGTGGTGGCGTGTCTCCGAGCCCCGCCTGCCCTCTACCCCGTGTGGCTTCTTCTCAGTTCAGCCCTAAGCCCTGGCAGGCAGGGGAATGGGCAGGAGTGAGCTGGGTCCCAGGCGAGGCTGGGCGCTTGCCTTGATGTCGCCCGTGGTCCACACAGCCCGCACGGTGTCCAGGTTCTTATGGCGGCTGGTGAGCACCACGCACATGGTGTCGTGGCCTTTGCGGATCTGCGACATGGCGTCCTCGTCCACCAGCTCCGCCTGCTGGGGGATCTTCACAGCCTGTGTAGGACAGGCACCAGATACTGGCATGGGGGCCGGGGGTAGGCAGGCAGCAGAGGTCGGCCCTTGCCCCCTACACCCCCACCCCTAGGGCTGGGCCCCACTCACAGGCAGGAAGTCGGAGGCCTTCAGCCCGATGGGCTCGTTCCGGGCAGCAGGGATGATGGCAGGCTCAGCCTTGGGTGCAGGTGTGGAAGTGATGACTGGGGGCCGGGGCGGGACCTCGAGCTGAGGGCATCCAAGTTCAGCTGGCAGCCGCCTGGGCCTTCCCTCCACCTCCCATTTGGGAGCCCTCCCCTGCCCGCCAGGCCTCCACTCCAACATACATTTGGCAGCGGGAACTGCACGTCCATGGCGGGGCTGGGCTTTGTTGCCTCCTTTGTTGTGGTCGTGTCTGGAGGCAGAAGGGAAAGCCCATGGGTCAGGCCAAGAGCTATGGCAGGAGGGCAGGGCTGGGGTGGGACTCTGGGCACATCTGTCACTAGGGATGGCGCTGCAGCCAGTGTGGCAGCTGGGGAGGCAGCTGGGAGCCAGGGAGGGGCCCTCGGTGTTGGGGTCCTGGAGCAGCCCTGAGGGCAGGGCTGGGCCTGTCTCTTCCCTCTCCACCTAGTCAGCCTAGGGCTGTTTGTGGAGGGACCCAGGACACCCCCGGTGTGACAAGCCTGTCACTAATTGGGCTGGAGTGTGTCCTGAGTGCTGGCGGGTGCTGAAGTGAGAAGGGGGGCTCTAAGCAAGCCCAGCCTTGAGAGGGAAGCGAGAGGGCGCTCTCTCCGGGGAGAACAAGGTGGGGAGGGCTGGCACAGGCTTGGGGAAGGGACTCATTGGGTGGGCTAGGGAGCAGGCTCTCCCCGACTCACCATCCTCTGGGGGTGCTGGGAAGGGCTCACTTCTTCGGGGTGGCGTTCGACCTGCAGAGGCAAAGTGGGCTGAGGACTCACCTCGGCCAGCCCAGAGCTCCTGTGAAACCCCCTGGCTGGCCCCCCTGGGATGGAAACATCGGCTACAGACCCACGACCCTGCTCCTGGCCCATGTACCCTTAGGCCTGCCCCTTCTCACAGGCATCCCCTTTGCTCAGGGCCGGGCTAATTAAGGGTACCCAGCAGCCAGTTCCTATTCTCGGCCCTGCAGAATCACAGCCTGGCACGGCCTGGAAGACACGAGGGCAGAGCCTGGGGCAGGTGGGTTAGGAATGAAGCTAAGAGGACGAAGACCCATGGCGACGACATCCCTGGGAAGGACCCTGCCCACAGTGCACAAATGGGGACCCGGCTCGGAGGGGAGGGCGAGGCTGGCCTCACTGATGCTGTTCTTGGGCTGGAAGATCTCGTTGTAGTCCTCGGCGTTCTGGATCTCTGCCCGAGACTCCCGCTCATCCCGGTCATCCTCGCTGCTGGGGCTGCGGCGCTCGCTCTCCGAGTTCTGCTTCACCCTGGGGGTCAGGGCCAAGCCCAGAGGAAGCAGGGCCCCTGGTGAGCCTGGGACTGGGTCCCTGAGGCCTTCCTCGAGATTGGCCCCCCACTCCTGTGCACCTGAGGGCCCCCAGGCACCCCACCTCTGGGGCTTGCTGCAGGTTGTGCTGGGCCGCTCGTAGATGCGCCGGAGCGGGGCGCTGGGGTTGGAGGGCTGCTGCGCCAGAGGCCGGCTGTCCTGCACAGGATCCTGGGCCACCGTGCCGGTCCTGGTGACCCGCGTCAGGTCCACCACATAAGAGGAGACGTTGCTCTGGGAGAAGGCCACGCCTATCTGCAGGAAGCAGCAGAGCTGGGGTCAGGCCTTGGGTCTGGGGGCAGGATCCCAGCAGAGCAGGGTGGGGCGGGAGTGGGGGCCTGAGGAGGAGATGGGCAGTGGCCTGGCACGAGGACAGGTGGGGGGCAATGCTCTCACCAGCTGGTCGTTGCAGATGGCCAGGTCGGCCACCTTGCCCCAGTTGACGAGAACCACATCAAAGCAGCGCTCGGGCTCCCAGCCGTAGACGCGCAGCGAGTCCTGGCAGCCGCTGTATAGGCAGCAGCCATCGGGGTTGAAGAGGACGCTCCTGGGCCAGAGGAGAGCTGGCCGTGAGTCCTGGGGTGCTCGGCCTGGTCCCTACCCCAAGAAATCAGCAAGGCCAGGACACAGAGGGAGCAGAGCAGGGATGGGAAGAGCCATCCGCCCTCCTCCTGTCGCCTCGCCTCATACCTGACAGGCCCTGGCTCCCCTTCGATGCAGCTCACCACCTGGAATTTCTCCAGATCCCAGAAACGAA